AATACAAAAATTGCCGGGCACGGCGGCTTATGCCTGTAATCCCAGCACTTTGGGAGGCTGAGGCGGGTGGATCATGAGGTCAGAAGTTCGAGACCAGTCTGGCCAACATGGTGAAACCCCATCTCTACTAAAAATACAAAAATTAGCTGAGCGTGGTGGTACACGCCTGTAATCCCAGCTACTTAGTAGGCTGAGATAGGAAAATCACTTGAACCCAGGACGCAGAGGTTGCAGTGAGCTGAGAGCACACCACTGCACTCCAGCCTGGGCAACAGAGCAAGACTCCATCTCAAAAAAAAAAAAAAAGAAAAAATACAAAAATTACCCTGGCATATGGGCCAGAGATGGTGGCTCACGCCTGTAATTCCAGCACTTTGGGAGGCCGAGGCAGGTAGATCACGAGGTCAGGAGATCTAGACCATCCTAGCTAACACGGTGAAACCCCGTGTCTATTAAAAATACAAAAAATTAGCCAGGCATGCTGGCAGGCACCTGTAGTCCCAGGTACTCGGGAGGCTGAGGCAGGAGAATGGTGTGAACCTGGGAGACAGAGCTTGCAGTGAGCCGAGATCATGCCACTGCACTCCAGCCTGGGCCAACAGAGTGAGACTCTGTCTCTATATAAATAAATTAAATTAAATTAAATTAGCCCGGCATAGTGGTGGATGCCTGTAATCCCAGCTACTCGGGAGGCTGCAGGAGAATTGCTTGAACCCAGGAGGTGGAGGTTATAGTGAGCCGAGATTGCACCACTGCACTCCAGTCTGGGTGACAGAGCAAGACTGTTTCAAAAACAAAAAAAACAAAATGTCCCAGTATGAAGTACAATGTGAGACATTGGAGTAGATCCTGGAATGGAGAGAAGACAGCAGAAAATATGTGAAATCTAAAGTCTGTTTTTTCTTTAAGACATGGTCTCACTGTCACCCAAGCTGGAGTGCAGTGGCATCATCTCGGCTCACTGCAGTCTCAACTTCCTGTGCTCAGGCCATCCTCCCATCTCAGGTTCCTGATACCACACCCAGCTAATTTTTGTATTCTTTTGTAGAGTTGGGTCTCACTATGTTCTCCAGGCTGGTCACCTGGGCTCAGGTGATTGCCTACCTTGGCCTCCCAAAATGCTGGGATGACAGACACGAGACATCACACCCAATCTAGTCTGGAGTTTAATGGTAACATACCAACATTAGTCTCTTAGTTGATAAACACCATAGTTATGTAAGATATTAAAATTACGGGAAATTGGGTAGTGCATATACGAAAACTCTATACAACTTCTGAAAATTTAAAATTATCCCCAAATAAAGCTTTTTTTAAAAAGTGCTCAGCATCATTAGTCATCAGGGAAATGTGAATTAAAATCACAATACTACTCCACCCACCAGAATGGTTAAAATGAAGCTGATCAACAGCAGCACATGTTGTTAAGGATGTTATGGAGCAACCAGAATTCTCACAAATTGCGAATGAGGCCATGCACGGTGGCTCATGCCTGTAATCCTAGCCCTTTGGGAGGCCAAGGAGGGTGGATCACCTGATATCAGAGACCAAACTGGCCAACATGGCGAAACCTCGTCTCTACTAAAAATACAAAAATTAGCTGGGTGTGGTGGCAGGTGCCTGTAATCCCTACTACTTGGGAGACTGAAGCAGGAGAATCATTTGAACCCAGGAGGCAGAGGTTGCAGTGAGCCGAGATCGTGCCACTGCACTCCAGCCTGGGTAAGAGACTCCCTCTCAAATGAAAAAAAAAAAAAAAAAAAAAAAAAAAAAAAAATGCTACTGAGGGCATAAAATGGTACAACCACTTTGGGAAAACATTGGTAGTTTCTTAAAAATTAAACATACACCAGGGTCCTTAAAAAATGTCATTTTGGGCCGGGCGCGGTGGCTCAAGCCTGTAATCCCAGCACTTTGGGAGGCCGAGACGGGCGGATCACGAGGTCAGGATATCGAGACCATCCTGGCTAACATGGTGAAACCCCATCTCTACTAAAAAAAAAAAAAAGAAAAAAATACAAAAAACTAGCCGGGCGAGGTGGCGGGCGCCTGTAGTCCCAGTTACTCGGGAGGCTGAGGCAGAATGGCGAAAACCTGGGGGGCGGAGCTTGCAGTGAGCTGAGATCCGGCCACTGCACTCCAGCCTGGGCTACAGAGCAAGACTCCGTCTCAAAAAAAAAAAAAAAAAAAAAAGTCATTTTGGTTGGTCAACATCATTTTATTGAGGAAAAAAAAAAAAAAATCAACTCCTGGCTGGGACCACTATGTGGAGTTTAATACATCCTTTCTGTGTATGCATGGGCTTTCTCTCTGGGTACTAGGTTTCCTCCCATATCCCAAAGGTATACTTGCAAGTCTGAATGGTTCCAATCTGACTGAATGTGGGTGTGAGCATGCCCTGCAATGGGACGGTCTCCTGGCCATGATCAATTACCATGTTGACCTTCAGCTGGCTACATAGGTTCTAGTTTCTTGAGACTCTGAACTGAAACAACTGGGTGAATATATAGCTTTTCAATTTTTCTTAAATTGAACTGGGCAAATAATTATATAGCTTTTCAACTTCTCTACTTTTCTTAAATGCATGCACAGCTCACGTTTATTTCAATGTTTAGTATTAGATGTGTTTTGGCTTTTATTTGGTGCCAGGTGCAGTGGCTCACACACCTGTAATCTCAGCACTTTGGGAGGCGGAGGAAGGATTGCAAAGTTCAAGACCAGCCTGGGCAACAAAGGGAGACTCCCCGTCTCTACAAAACAAAAAAACCAAGCCAGGCATGGTAGCACACGCCTGTAGTCCCAGCTACTTGGGAGGCTGAGGTGGGAGGATTGCTTGAGTCCGGGAGGTCAAGGCTGCAGTAAGTCATAATGGTACTACACGCCAGCCTGGGCAACAGAGTATGATGTCTCAAAAAAAAGTCTGACGTTTCTAACTACAAATATGCTGTAGGAACTTAATTCTTGTGTTAATTAGCCTATGGTAAAACTGGTTTATTAAATTTTCCAAGAACCCTTCAATAAATCTTCAACAATGTTGAAGATTACTGTATTATCTACCCTGTCACTTCATGAATTCCACTCAAGATATTTATCCAAACGAAACTGTTACGTCCAAGACTCGTACAATACTCAAAGCAGAATTTGTAACAGCCAAAAATTGGAACTAGCCCAGATGTCCATCAATAGTTACGTCATACACTGCAATTCTACTCCACAATAAAATATACATGCAACTATGTGGATGAATCTCAAAAACATTCTGTAAGCAGCTAGACATAAATTACATCAACAGAATTTACATAATCAAAATATGCAAAAAACATCTTATGATGGAAACCAGGTCAGTGTTTGTTGCTGGTGTTGGGAGGTGGTCTACTGAGAACGGGCACACACAACTTTCTGGAGCAATGTTCTGTGTCTTGATGTGCTAAGCATTTCTCAAAACTGATCAAACTGTACATGAGATCAGTGCATTTCACCATATACTTTTTTTTTTTTTAAGTGCTACTCATTCCTCAGTGGATGAGCCACAAATTCACCATAAGGACTAAACTTTAACACCAGATACTGAGGAGGCATGGATTAATAACTCACACATCATTGGCTAAGTGTTTCCAAAATATTACTTTGGAAAAAATGCCTAGCGATCTCTCAAAAATGTACATCTATCCTGATTCAGCAATTCTGTACCCGTTGTCATCTCAGTAATTACAAAAACTAGTATAAGAACATTTATAGCAACTTTATGAATGAAAGCCAAAAACAGGTTTCCATGAATGGGAAAGCATACTACACTCATACTTGGCAATATGGAACTACTGATGTATACATGGCTAAAACTCTAGTATTTGGAGATGATGGTAATTATCTTGATAGGGTACACATTTCTCACAGTTCATAAAACGGTACACTTAATACAATTTCAGATTTAAATGCTATTTTAAAAATTGATTCAAGTTGAACTCATTGATAGAAAAATTCAAGTTATTTTTCAGGAATTATATTGACATGTACAACATATAGTACTGATGGGATGGGTAATGTTTTCCTGGAACAATAGGTATAGAGTTGGCTAGGCGCGGTGGCTCACACCTGTAATCCCAGCACTTTGGGAGGCCGAGGTGGGCAGATCACTTGAGGTCAGGAGGTTCAAAACCAGGCTGGCCAACATGATGAAAACCCTGTCTATATTAAAATACAAAATAAGCTGGGTATGGTGGCACATGCCTGTAATCCCAGCTACCTGGGAGGCTGAGGTAGGACAATCGCTTGAACCCAGGACACAGAGGTTGCAGTGATCTGAGATGGCGCCACTGCACTCCAGCCCGGGGGACAGAGCGAGACTCCATCTCATTAATAAACCCCCAAAAAACAATAGGTGTAGAGCTGAGGCTATTTACAGAATGACAATACTTAGGGCTTTCTCTCCCATCTTAAAGCTTAGCTGCATCTTTCTCCACGTGATGAGTTCTGTTCAACTGACTACATAACCCAAATGCAATGTCCAGTTTTAGATGCAAATGAACATCAACTAATCAAATATATACAGGACACTAGGTAAAGAAACTGAAAACTACAAATTCATAAACATATTATCATATGCTTCGCTTAACCCAAAGCATTTAGAATCCACAGCCACAACTGAGTAGCTGCTGACCTGTTTATCCCGAAGAGTTAAGCAGGAATTAAATAAAAACACTACAGTTGATTCCTGGTTTATTTAGCCTCTGCTTCTTAGGTGTGTGATTGTGCTTCCACTTAACTTTTACAATGAGGATTGAAGTTATCTACATTCCGCCCGAAGCTTACTCTCAAAAAAAAAAGGGAGGCCTAGTCACATGAACAGCCTCAATGACTCTGGACATTCCCATGCAAAACTGATTAAGTGTCATCAATGCAACAGAGCTAGTGTTTGGGGGAGGCAGATATGGGAAAAACACTTAAAAACATAAACCCCTAATTTCTTAAAAGTAAAAAAAAGCCCCTTGCCACAAAAAAGATGCCATGTTAAAGTTTTATTAAGTTTCAATACAAAACATTCCAAAAAGTGAAAAATGATCTATAATACCCAAGTTCTATGTTCAACTACCAGTTAAACAAGGAAAACATTTTCTGTATCGTTTTACAACCAGTATAAACCCAGAAGAATCAAGATCCGATTCTTTTTCCACACGTCTGCTAGGTCAGTAAACTATTTATCAAACAGGTATCTGGTCATTTTAACATACTCCTTGCTTTGAACTTAATATTCCTATTTGGTACAATCTCTATATCCTATACTATCTTAAAAGATATCTAAATACCTTAAATATTTAGGATATCTCAAGAGCCAAAAGGTCCTCACAGAAGCTGTAACTCAAGTAATCATAAGAGTATAGAAGGTTTGGGCTGAGACAACTATGGAAGTGCAAAAACCACATAAATTTGGTCATTAACCTTGGGGTCTGTGATTAGTAGTAGGTTGTCAAATGAGAGTTAAAAACGTGGTACTATCCCCAGTTGCAAATGTTCCAAACAAGACAGTGCCATAACTACACGACAAAAAAAAAAAAAAAAAAAAAAAAAAATCATAGAAGTTGGGTTAGTTCCTCTAATCTAACAACTCAAGTCTGTTTCCTTTGAGAGCATTCTACTATTGGCTCTAGTCTCCAAACCAATAAACTAAAACTTGTTTCCAAGACTGGGAGGTAAAGTAGGCTTATAAAACAATATAGCAAAACAAAGCCAAGTGGCCTACATGTTTCCAGTGTGCTTACCATCTTAGCATGGTTACTTTCCAGATGTCAATCCTAAGTTTTATTCTACAACTAAACTGTTTGTGGATAAGTCACCACCAAAAAATGTTTCACTTTCTGACAGACACTTCACTAAATAGAGCTACCACCTATATCCATCATTTTTATAATTCAACTTAAGTTCTAAATTGAAGAGTTGTCCCCGTGACTTTAGCTAAACAAAATGAAAGCCAAAGCTGTAAAATCTATGTAAAGAACCACAAGAACTTCCTGACTACCTCCACTTACCAATTTCCTTAATTACTTCCCCTTTTCCATTTGGCCAATTACTTGCTTTAAGTAACTACCACTCGCTCCCTAGTTATGAGTGTTAATCAACACTGATGCCTTCCTCAGATCCACAGGAACCCCTGAAGGCAAAATCTATTGCCTGCACCAAACCAATTCTGACAGCACTGCTTATGCAACTGTAGTGACTTATTGACAATCAGCCGCCTTCTGCTTCAACAACTCTGTAAAATGAAAAACACATGGGATCCTGTTACATAGTATTTGTTTTACTGTGAAGTACTTCCCCCCAAACTATCATTTAAATGTATTTTTTGTTGTTTTAGCTAAAAATAAAATTGCTTTAAAAAGCAAGCTCTGGGCAGGCGCAGTGGCTGACGCCTGTAATCCCAACACTGGGAAGCCGAGACAGGCAGATCACTCAAGGTCAGGAGTTCGAGACCAGCCTGGCCAACATAGTGAAACCCTGTCTCTACAAAAAGTACAAAGATTAGCCGGGAACGGTGGTGCACACCCGTAGTCCCAGCTACTTGGGAATCTGAGAGGCAGGAGAATCGCTTGAACCTGGGCGGCGCTGAGTTGAGATCATGCCACAGGGAGAAGCCATCTCAAAAAAAAAAAAAAAAAGAAAGCCGGATGCAGTGACTCACGCCTATAATCTCAGCACACTGGGAGACCGAGGCAGGCAGATCACCTGAGGTTAGGGGTTCAAGACCAGCCTGGCCAACAGTGAAACCCCATCTCTACTAAAAATACAAAAAAATAGCCAGGCACAGTGGCAGGCACCTGTAATCCCAGCTACCTGGAAAGCCGAGGCAGGAAAATCGCTTGAACCTAGGAAGCAGATTGCCACTGCACTCTAGCCTGGGCAACAAGTGCAAAACTGCCTCAGAAAGGAAAAAAAAAGAACACGCAAGCTTTAAAAATCAACCACAGGCGGCTGAGCTTGGTAGCTCACGCCTGTAATCCCAGCACTTTGGGAGGCGAGGCAGGCAGATCACAAGGTCAGGAGATCGAGACCATCCTGCCTAACACGGTAAAACCGCGTCTCTACTAAAAATACAAAAAAATTAGCCGGGCGTGGCAGCGTGCACCTGTAGTCCCAGCTGCTGGGGAGGCTGAGGCAGGAGAATGACGTGAACCCAGGAGGCAGAGCTTGCAGTGAGCTGAGATCGCGCCACTGCACTCCAGCCTGGGCAACAGAGCAAGACTCCGTCTCAAAAAAAAAAAAAAAAAATTGGTAACATTAAAATTACATACTATGTCATCATTATGTCAAAATCATGTTAATCAAACAGGGAACTTGCAGCCACAGTTGCATCATTAACTCCACATTTAGTCAATTTGTATTGTGGCTGTGCAAATGAGCAGGCACTAACTAGTAACAATGAGAGTATATCCTTTTACAAAATGCACTGAGCAAACTTTTTTTCTCCTCTTCTTGAGACAGGGTCTTGCTCTGTCACCTAGGCTGGAGTGCAATGGCGTGACCTCGGCTCACTGCAACCTCTGCCTCCTGGGTTCAAGCAATTCTCCTGCCTCAGCCTCCCGAGTGGCTGGAATTACAGGCGAATGCCACCACTCTCCGTTTTTTTGTTTGTTTTTTTTTTTTTTTTAGTAGAGATGAGGTTTCACCATGTTTGCCAGACTGGTTTCTAACTCCTGACCTCGTGGTCTGCCCGCCTTGGCCTCCCAAAGTCCTGGGATTAAAGGCATGAGCCACGGCGCCCAGCCAAGCAAACTTCTTACGTGTGTACTTCCTGTTGAGAATGCTTGCATATGAAGAGCTATTAGCAAGCTTTATGAGTTCAAAAGTAGCTAAGAATAATCGCATGAATGAGCCACACTCATTAAAATGTAACCTCACTCTATATTCACCATGAAATGTGCAGATATTACACATTCAAGCACTTAATTTCATCAATTCCAAGCACTATTTTTACAGATGAAATGAGGACCACAGTATCTTGCCAATGTCACAGCTAAACTAAGTGGTAGTTACACAGCATTTAAACCTTCAAAGGCCACTGCTTTCAACACTTACCTTAGCATTTGATTTCTCTTACTGCCAGCTTTATCTACTGTGAATCAATCAGCACTCCACGACCATAATGAGCATAATCATCAACCTGCAAAAGTTAAATAAATGAAAACTAGTTATCTCTCTTAAGGAAATTCTTTAAAACTTGCCTATTACTGCCCTCTTTTCCAGAGAGAAAAGGCAAGTTCAGACTTGCAGCTTAATATATTTCATGTTCTACTACTTCTCTTAAGTGGTGGAAGATTCACTGGCTCGGGATGGACTGGAATGGCTTAAATGGTTAAGTTGCATGGCTTATGGATTGTCATTCTGTTCCAATGGTGCACTGCCACGTTAAATCCATAAGTTGAACGAACAAAACTTATTTGAAGGAATAAGTGCAGTATAAGGATTTTTAGTTGGAGGTCTTCAAGTTTACTATATTCAAGAGCATCTTTTTCAACTTCATGGCTGGACCTGGGTCATGGTGCCTCAGGTTTTGCTTTTTAAAGACCACTTGCAATAGATTTTCTCCATACAGTGTAGTTTCATAGAACTAAAAACAAGTCAGGCATCCAACTAAATGTCAAGTTTGCAATGGCTTACAGGGGTAAAAAGGGGGACCCCAAACTTAAGCCATTTCCTATATTGACTAAAAGACTAATTTGAAAAAAATGTTAAAACATATGAAGCATGTTTAAAGGTCTTCATCAAAAATGGACTTTGAAAAAAATACCCCCTCCCAAGCCCCAGATCGCCATTGGTAAACAACAGCTTTATTAATAAAGCCTTTAAGTGTCATACATGCTTTAAAAAAAAAAAAAAGAATCCAAGTGTTGAATTTGGAAGACTTCTAATATGCTATTGAATATTTCTTTTCTCCAAAAGTTTTTTTAATCTAGAAGGCATTTCCATTGCCTTGAGGTACAGTATGTTTCACTGTACTATGAGGAAGGTAAGTGTTCAATTTCGACTTAGACGGAAAAACTAGTTTGCTTTGCTTACCATCTTTGCTGTTTCACAGGCATTTGATGCTTTAAATCTGATGTGGAATGCTGATAGATTCACTTTTTAGAAGTCATAAGCCTTTAGGAAGTTGGAGATAACTTCATTGCTTATCTATTTTCTCCTTTGCAATCAAGCTGTTCCTTTAAAAGTGAGACACTACAGAGTTGCAAAAATTTGAAACAGTAAGAGCAAGCACCTTTGCAGCTTCATGGTTGGTTTTGGCCAAACTTTTTATTTAGTATTCTGTAGTTGTTTAACACACACTTAAATGGTCTTATTGGGGGAGGGGAAAGGGGAGGTTCTTGCAGATTCCCAAGGAAATGTGAGAAAGGCAAAATGGCCAGCATTATCCATTTGCTTTTTTGGGTTTACTGGGTGAATAGCACTTTCCTTACACAGGCATGTGATTTCAGGTTTTTCATACTGAGAACATTGAGATTTCAGTTGGAAGACACCCTGAAATCTTGTAAGTAGCATACCCCAACCACCCTCTAGTAGCTAGCTTGTTTGTATAGGTAGAATGATTCATCTCTCCATTTTAGATGGCTAGATGTTCTGTGGAAGATCTTAGAATTGCTTGCCTCATTTACTGGGAAAAATCAAGATAGGAAGTGGCCTTTAGGGATACTTTTACTTGGAAAGTTGCAACACTAGTACAAGTCTTAACACATTTAACATTTGCTTGTTGAAAAGCAATGTCATAAAGTCAAATAAAATTAAACATGTTTTACTTTTTGCCTCACAAGAACATTTGCTTGTTGAAAAGCAATGTCATAAAGTCAAATAAAATTAAACATGTTTTACTTTTTGCCTCACAAGAACATAAAAATTATGGAGGGAAACTTAACAGGGCATTTAAAAAATGTAACACAATTTTTCCTTTTAGTAGTCCTTGGGTAGTTATGACAGAATAGTTTCCACTTTTTGTTTCTTTGAACTGGGATTTTGGTCCAAAGTTTTGTTTGTTTCTAGTATCTGCTTCTGCCTCCCCCTCTATCAGATCGGCTTCCTCCACGGCCACCACCTCTTGGTGCTCCGCGGCTTGAACTGCTGTAGGAATCACGTGGAGGAGGGTACCCCCTTTCCATAGAAGGGGGAAGCCCTCTGTCTTGTCTGCCAACCCGATCACGACCACTTGAGTAGAGATCACTTCGGCTGCTTGAGTAACTGTCTCGACTTCCACCATATCCGTCACGTGAGCTGCTGTAATCATCATAGCGACTGCTTCCACCATAAGATGGCGGGGGCCCTCGTGTAGGTGGAGCACTACGTGAGTTACCTGCAGGGTCAATGGTCAGGTAATATGGCAACACTATAAATTGTATATATACAACATTTTAAATCTGAATTTACAGAATTCTTGTATTAAAAGTTTACTTTCTCAACTGGGTGGGAGGTTTTAAACTCTGCCATTGCTGGCCATAACAGGGATTTGCTCATCTGCTGAGATATGGAAATGGATTCATTTTAATGTTTGTTTGAAAAGACTGAAGACGGTGTGTATTTCAAGAGGATATTCCAGAGAGCTTGTTATTTTATAGTAGACACTCAGCCACTTTCCAGTGATAAGTTGCAATTTTGAACTGTAGAACTTGCCTTCATATTGCAATGGTAAATATTTGATCTTGTTAATAAAATTTTTAAATTGTATTTTCACTGTTGGGGGAAAACACATAAGGCTGCCAATTTAAGCAAGCAAAATCCCCTCCAAAGCAAGCAAACAGCCTCAAAAGAAACTTAGAAAAACAAAAAAAAAGCCCCTCACAAAACTAGGAAAAGCCCAGCTGATAAAGTTACCCCTTTAAAAGCAAGCAAACATCCCTTTAAAAAGCAAGCACCACGCAGCCTAAAAAACTGGCTCACGAACCTAAAAACTCAAGCTGGTGATACTCAAGACCCTTAACCAGTATCTTACCATAACTCTCATATGAATCTCTGTAGGAACCTCCACTTGGATGATCTGAATAGTCACGATCACGACCATATCCATCTCTATCGCTAAATTAAAGAGAAACCTTTAAGTCCCAGAGCATCAACTTTTATAGCAACTTTTCTTACATGCAAGCCACAGAAGCAGTCACTTACCTATAGCCTCTTGATGGATAGTCATCACGTGAACTGGAATGACCATAATCACGGTAAGTATAATCTCGTGGTGGTGGTGCATAATCTCTAGTATCACGAGAACTTGGGTAATCTCTGCTTGAATAGCTACAAACACAAAAGTTTTGGTTCATGCTTTTGATAAGCTTTCCTTCAACCTTAATTATTAATTTAAAAAGCTGCAATTTTCTATTACCTGTCTTTAGTAGAATACCCATCATCTCTTGGGGACAAATAAACATCTCTACGAGAGGGCAGTGGCTCCCTTCGAGGTGGACCTCCGTAACTATCTCTTCCACGTGATACAGGAGCTTAAGGAAAATTACATCACTTTTTTTAAACACAGTCAGAGAAAGAAGTTAAAACGTGAACTTACATTCAGGCTATGAAAACGAGACTGACTTCAAAGATGACATTACGGAGGCTAGATCATCTCATTTTTTCTAGAATTTCCGATTCACATTTTAAATTTTTTTCAGTGCTAATTCCATTTATCTAGATCACCTAGAACACATGACCAAAAATTTTTTTTTTTTTTTGAGATGGAGTCTCGCTGTCACCCAGGCTGGAGTGCAGTCCTGTGATCTCGGCTCACTGCAACCTCCGCCTTCTGGGTTCGAGTGATTCTCCTGCCTCAGTCTCCGGAGTAGCTGGGATTACAGGCACCCGCCACCGTGCCCGGCTAATTTTTGTATTTTTAGTAGAAACAGAGTTTCACCATGTTGGCCAGACTAGCGTCAAACTCCAGGCCTCGTGATCCGCCCACCTCAGCCTCCCAAAGTACCAACATTACAGGTGTGAGCCACCGCGCCCAGACTCCACGAATAAAGCTAGGGGGGTGTGTGCGTGCGCGTGCGTGTGCGTGTGTGTGTTTTGAGAGGGAGTCTCTCTGTTGCCAGGCTGGAGTGCAGTGGCATCATCTCGGTTCCCTGCAACCTCCGCCTCCCAGGTTCCAGCAATTCTCCCGCCTCAGCCTCCCAAGTAGCGGGGATTACAGGCACCCACCCTATGCCCAGCTAATTTTTGTATTTTTTTAGTAGAGACAGGGTTTCACCACATTGGCCAGGATAGTCTCAATCTCTTGCCTTGGCCTCCCAAAATGCTAGGATTACAGGCATGAGACACCACGCCCAGCCAATTAAACTTTTAAGCATCATTTACCTCTCAATTCTTTGTTACAGTAGTAGCACAGATTGTCATACATGGAACATTTACCTCTCCCTCCCATTCCACTGCTACTGCGAACTGGTCCTGAAGGTGCAGATCTCTTGGGAGGAGGACCCCCACTTCTTGGTGGTGGTCCTCTTTTTACTGGGAGTGGTCCCCTGGAAGAACTCATGTTAAAATTCATGGAATATCCACCGTCATCTACATCAAGAATAGAAAAGAAAAATATTACTACTCACAAGAATCAAGAAAGATATGAGAGTTTTTTTTTGATACGGAGTCTCGCTCTGTCGCCCAGGCTGGAGTGCAGTGGCGGGATCTCAGCTCACTGTAACCTCCGCCTCCTAGGTTCAAGCAATTCTCCTGCCTTAGCCTCCCGAGTAGCTGGGATTACAGGTGTGCGCCACCATGCCCAGGTAATTTCTTGTATTTTTTTTTTTAGCAGATACAGGATTTCACCATGCTGGCCAGGCTGGTCTCGAACTTGACCTTGTGATCCTCCTGCCTCGGCCTCCCAAAGTGCTGGGATTGCAGGCGTGAACCACCAAACTCGGCCACTACAAAATTTCCTTTGCTTCATGAAGAATATGACCATTAGGCCGGGCACAATGGCTCAGGCCTGTAATCCCAGCACTTTGAGCGGCCGAGGCAGGCAGATCACCTGAGACCAGGAGTTCAAGACCAGCGTAACATGGTGAAATCCTGTCTCTACTAAAAATACAAAAATCCAGGTGTGGTGGTGCATGCCTGTAATCCCAGCTACTCGGGAGGCGGAGGCAGGACAATCACTTAAACCTGGGAGGCAGAGGTTGCTGTGAGCCAAGATCGTGCCACTGCACTCCAGCCTGCGCAACAAGAGCTAAACTCTGTCTCCCAAAAACAAACGAACGAACAAAAATGACCATTATTAATTTGGCTAGTCTAGTTTCACTTGTACTTGATGGAACATGCAGTGCAGTTATATAGACTGGGGAAGTAAGAACTGAAGGTAGTCTTAAACTTTTTTTTTTTTGAGGAGTCTCACTCTGTTCCCCCAGGCTGGAGAGTACAGTGACACGATCTCGGCTCACTGCAACCTCCACCTCCCGAGTTCAAGTGATTCTTCTGCCTCAGCCTCCTGAGTAGCTGGGATTATAAGCGCCCACCACCATGCCCAGCTAACTTTAAAAAATAAAAATGGGCTGGGCGCAGTGGCTCAAGCCTGTAATCCCAGCACTTTGGGAGGCTGAGGCTGAGGTGGGTGGATCACGAGGTCAGGAGATCGAGACTAACACGGTGGAACCCCGTTTCTACTAAAAAATACAAAAAACTAGCCAGGCAAGGTGGCGGGCGCCTGTGGTCCCAGCTACTCAGGAGGCTGAGGCAGGAGAATGGCGTAAACCCGGGAGGTGGAGCTTGCAGTAAGCTGAGATCCCGCCACTGCACTCCAGCCTAGGTGAAAGAGCGAGACTCCATCTCAAAAAAAATAAATAAATAAAAGAAAAATGATTTCATTTTCATGTCCAACACCTTGGCTTATCAATTTTTAAATGCCTTTCCTACAGAGTAAACTACTTGGACAAGAAGTAACACTGTCCACGGTTTAACACTATAATCTCACATGCTTCCCATGCTTTCAACTGGCAATCACTTTGATAGATGAACAAGTGTTGTCAATTTCAAAAGTTGGCACCTTTCCTCAAGGACTTAACCAAAGCATCCATTTGGTGGGAGCTTGCAGTCCCTAACTTACACACCAAACCCGAGGTCTACGCAAGTTATTACCCATGTGTCCTCCCCGTGAGGGAGGTCCCCTGGTTCCTCCACTTCCTCCTCTTCCACCTCTAAGACCTCTTGGAGGGCCTCTACTTCTTGGAGGTGGAGGCGGTCCACGTCTACCACTTTCAAATGATGGTTTGGTGGCTTGTTCCACTTTGATGGCTTTTCCATCTAATGACTAAAAAAAAAAGATATGGTTAAATCAAGATTTAAACAATTTGCACATCTACTATGCACTAAGACACTAACGGGTCCTTCAAAATACAGTTATGGATAAGTGTTGCTCACTAATTAGTCTAAGAAAAAACACTGCAAATATAGCCAGTTAAATGGGGCTTTTCCACTTAAAATTCTTAATACTTGAAAATGATACTGATGGTCTGGATTGAAACATAACGTGAATCCACTGCATTACTGTATGGTAAAATTTAAAACAAGGCCAAGTAGGTATCAGTTTGTTATCAAAACTAAAAGCCAAGTTATCAAAATATGGTTTATGGATCTCAAGACAAAATGTATCATGTTGGCTAGGTGCAGTGGCTCACACCTGTAATCCCAGTACTTTGGGAGGCTGAGGCGGGTGGATCACCTGAAATCAGGAGTTTGTGACCAGCCTGGCCAAAATGGTGAAACCCCGTCTCTACCAAAAATACAAAATTATCCGGGTGTGGTCGCGCGTGCCTGTAATCCCAGCTACTCGGGAGGCTGAGGCAGAATAATCATTTAGAAGTCGGGAGGCAGAGGTTGCAGTGGGCAGATCACACCATTGCACTCCAGCCTAGGTGATAGAGGGAGACTACCAAAAAAAAAAAAAAAGGTATCACGTAATGTCATAATTATTCTGAACCGAGAGAATGTTAACAGCGTAAGATATAACTCACTACCAGATTTGGTTCTGCAATTACAGAATACTCTTTGGAACGGGATCACAAACAGGATGAGTCCCAGACAGGTATATACTGAAAAACGACGAAAACTCAAAAGCTGCCCTAGACCAGACTTGGGCAACTATGTTATGTTATGCACTGTTAACAGGTTATCATCCATTGGGTAGACAATCTCACCTTTCCATTCATGTCTCTGGCTGCATCCTTAGCGTCTGCTGGGCTTTCAAAGGTGACAAAAGCAAATCCTCTTGATTTGTTGGTTTCCCGGTCTTTCATCAAGAGTACTAAAAAGTAGTTTTCAGAAAAATAAAGTGTTACCCTAGTTCAAATGAAATAACCAAAGTAAATGTGTAAACAGAAAGCTCAGAACTTCTTAGAGGACAAAATACATTATCATGTCAGACGATCAATGCAATCAAATTCATCATAGCTTCTATTTTAATTATCATAGCCCAGCCTGTACTGCCAGACAACTCACCTTCCACTATTCGTCCATATTTGCCAAATACTGCTTCAAGAGCTTTCTCATTTGTTTCCGTATTAAGCCCACCAATGAAGAGCTTTCCTGGGCGATCTGCTTCAACCATTTTTTTTTTTTTTTGCCGGTGAGTCTGTTGAAAAGGAATAGTATTACCTCACTGCAAAAAGTTCAAGTTTATTGGACACTTTTACTTTGGCACATTTTTCATATTTTCCACTAAAACCATTGTTTCTTAATAACTAAAGAAAGGGATAACAAGCTAAGCCTCAGTCACAGTAGGAAGCAATTTGAATTAAGTAGATTAGTAACACTGCAATTTACATAAAACTGGTTAAAAGGGCCAGTTTAACTCTCACCACTACCCTTGATCACCCATAGCTGTTCTTAAGCAACAGCTGCTTAACATCTGAAAAACCAACTTCTAGTTCTAGTTCTGTTGCCTTTGAAAGATTCAATTACTCATCACGCCCTTCCTAACGATGGGGTTTTAAAAGACTCCCAAGGTCACAGGCCAGGCACAGGACCTTAACACCAAGCCCTCTTCCAACGTCCTCTTTTCCTATTTAGAATTCCCTACTAAATCCAAGGAGAAATGTGAAGTTTGAGCCAAGTTATGCCGCCTCTTCTCCACCGGCCCCCGCCCTACCTAAAATTCTACTATCCAGCCAAAAAGATAAAAACAAATTGTCAACCTCGTTTCCTATTAAGTAACGGAACGCGGACGCACACACTAACACTCGACACTCCGTGACTGCAGCGGAACCTAATTAAAACTCGTCATTAAAAACCGCGTGTAAAAGACAAAATGGCGACACTTGGATTCAACCCAGAACCACTGACACTGGTCAGGGGACTAACTTTTACCACCAACATTGGCTGGGAACATTCAGAGGGCTTCTTCTCCGGGGCCGCCAATGAATACGTAGCCCGCAGCCCGCATGGAAGTCCACATGCCCATCATTAGCGCCAGCGCCATACCAATGCAGGTATCGCGGTGGTGCGGTCGCTCCTCGCCCCGCTCCAGCCTACAAAGCCCCGACCTCCGCTACCAACTCCCGCAGGCGGCAGCCAAACTTTCTCGAGAGGCATACAACCAAACGGGCCCCCTCATTTGTTTTCCCTCGACCCCTTCTGCTTTATTTAAATAGGTCGGAACCTTTGGGTTCTTAAAATGGCGCCCGCCACCCCCATCTCCAGGGAGATATAATCCCCAGTCCTAACACGGCGAGAGTGTCACGAAAAACGGACTGAGGAAAGGAGACACGTACCGGAGGGGTGACAATGGGTTCAAGCTCCAACGAGCTCGCCGACACGGGCCTCCGAGCAGCTCAGCACCAGTGGCGGCTGCTCCGTCGGAGGACCAAACCGCGAAGCCGCTAGCACTACTGCGCAACGAGGGCGAACAAAGGAGACAGCAAACTTTATACTGCCCGGGAACGAGGCTGAAGGACCCGGATGGAAACGGAGCTTAGAATTTGAAACGCAAAGGGAGGGGGGAAGTAGTTCCCAGTCTCCCCATTGGCTGCCTCCTCTGTCACTCACTCTTCTCTCCTCCCTTTTTCCCGGGCCCTCCGTGTTGGGTCGGCGGACCTTTCTAACCGTTTTCCCTACCCCCACCCGTTCTTTACAAACGCGCTTTTTTTGCTTTGCTCTAAAATGGTGCACAGGCTTCATTTAATAAAGAACTGAAATTATTGAGCGCCTAGTGGGCCGGGCACGATGCAAAACTTTACTTTTACTTTTCCATTAACTCTTCTAATTGTCAAAATGTGATAAGGGAAGATACTCCTACTATACCAATTTTGCAGGAACGGAAAACAAAGAAGTTTTGGCAATATAATATATTTTCAAAAATTGTCTTTAACAAGTGTTTTTAGTGGGTGTGGGCATTTCTAATAAATACATGTAAATTTCAGATGAGTAAAAAACATACAAAACAGCCTGCAGATAGTTAATTCACATAGAACAATTACTGAGCACCTTGTAAATAGTGGGCTCTAGGCTAGGCCAGGAAGATGAAACCCCAGGAAAAGACAAGAGTCAGGCCTGTGGGTAAGGGTGCCGGATTTAAGAAATGAAAATACGAGGCCGGGCGCGGTGGCTCACGCCTGTAATCCCAGCACTTTGTGAGGCCGAGGCCGGTGGATCACGAGGTCAGGAGATGGAGACCATCCTGGCTAACACGGTGAAACCCCGTCTCTTTTTAAAAATAAAGAAATTGGCCGGGCGCGATGGCTCAAGCCTGTAATCCCAGCACTTTGGGAGGCCGAGACGGGCGGATCACGAGGTCAGGAGATCGAGACCATCCTGGCTAACACGATGAAACCCCGTGTCTACTTAAAAAAACTACAAAAAACTAGCCGGGCGAGGTGGCGGGTGCCTGTTCCCAGCTACTCGGGAGGCTGAGGCAGGAGAATGGCGGGAACCCGGGAGGCGGAGCTTGCAGTGAGCTGAGATCCGGCCACTGCACTCCAGCCCGGGCAAGAGAGCGAGACTCCGTCTCAAAAAAAATAAAATAAAAATAAAAATACAAGAAATTACCCAGGCGTGGTGGCACGCGCCTGTAGTCGCAGCTACTCAGGTGGCTGAGGCAGGAGAATCGCTTGAAACTGGGAGGCGGAGGTTACAGTGAGCCAAGACTGCGCCACCGCACTCCAGCCTGGGCAGGCGACAGAGCGAGACTCCGTCTCAAAGGAAAAAGAAAATGCGGGACGCTAATTTATTCTACGAAGCTGTTAAAAATAAATAAATAAAAATATGGAACGCGGCCGGGCGCGGTGGCTCACGCCTGTAATCCCAGCACTTTGGGAGGTCGAAGTGGGCAGATTGACTGAGCTCAGGGGTTTGAGACCAGCCTGTGCAACATGGTGAAACCCCGTCTCTACTAAAATAAAAATTAAAAAATTAGCCGGGCGTGGTGGCGTGTGCCTGTAGCCCCAGCTACTCGGGAGGCTGAGGCAGGAGAATTGCTTGAACCCGGGAGGTGGCGGTTGCAGTGAGCCGAGATTATCCCACTGCACTCCAGCCTGGCAACAGAGCAAGACTCCGTCTAAAAAGAAAACAAAAATGTGACGCCCAGTTAAGTTTAAATTTCAGATAACAAATACTTTTTTTAGTATATTATGTCCCAAATCTCATATTTTAAAAATTCACTGTTTATCGGAAATTCAAATTTGAGCATTCTATATTTCATCTGCCCATCCTACTTGTTAGGGGGAAACTACAAAATTTTTTAACTTAACTTTTGTGTTAAAGAAAGAAATTGAATACAATTAACAAAAGAATGTCATGTTGTGATTAACGCCAGGGAGGAAATAAACTAGTTGCTTTGATGGACAATATTAGGGAGAACAAATTTGATTAAAACATCAGGGAAGGTCTATGTGAAGAGGTGACTTTGGAGATCAGAACTGAAGGAAGAGAAGAAACTAGCTATGGGAACAGCTGAGGGAAAAGCCTTCAGGAAAAGAAGAGAATACTAAGCACAAAGTAGAGAAGAAGAGCTTGGCATATATCAAGGGACAGAAAGAGGGCCAGGTGACAAGAATTCGAGGGGCATGAAATGAGGGAGCCAAGATTGGCAGGACCTTTGAGCCCATTAAATGACTGTAGGGGTTAAGTGTGGGGAAAAAGACACTAATAGGGCTGTGGGAGCAGACCAGAAAGAGAGGATGGTGGCTTGAATTAGGGTGGTGGCAGTGGACACGGGGAGGAAAGAACAATTGTTAGATGACTATGTCTAACAATTAATGGTGTTATGGTCTAAATGTTTGTGTCATCCCCCAAATTCATATGTTGAAATCCTAATACCCAAGGTGATGGCATTAGGAGGTGGGGATTTGGGGAGAAGATTAGGTCACAAGGGCGGGGTCCTCATGAATGGGATTAACACTTTTATAAAAGAGGCCCCTGCCCACCAATGTGAGAACACAGTGAGAAGGTACCATTTACATGAACCAGAAAACTGGTGGTGGTGGGCCCTCACCAGACACTGAATATGCCGGCATCTTGATCTTGGACTTACCAGCCTACAAAAATGTGAGAAATAAATTTCTGTTGTTTATAAGCCAGCCAGTTTATGGTATTTTGTTATAGTAGCAGGAATGGACTAAGACAGATGGGAAAGGGGTGGGGAAGAATTGCGGAAACAGAAAATCATTATGGATGACTCCAAGTATCTGGTATTAGTGGGACAGATGGTAACAGTCATTTACGAAAATGGTTTCAGAGGAGCAAGTTTGGGATATAGGGGCAGAAAAATCTGAAGCTCAGAGCATAGATCTGTGCTAAATTATCATCTCAGAGATGTAATAAAAGCCATCAGAATGTATGAAACCACCAAACAAGAAAGTACAGTGGGAAAAGAAGGCCCAAGATCACATAATAAGAGCTATTAAAAAAAATATGTGGAGACAAAACAACTGGGAGGAAATATGCCAAAATGTTACCAGTTTATCTTGGAGTGGTAGAATTTATGGACAATTTTCACTTTTCTTCTTCTTTTTTTTTTTTTTTTTTTTGAGACGGAGTCTCGCTCTGTCGCCCAGGCTGGAGTGCAGTGGCCGGATCTCAGCTCACTGCAAGCTCCGCCTCCGGGTTCACGCCATTCTCCTGCTCAGCCTCCGAGTAGCTGGGACTACAGGCGCCACCACCTCGCCGGCTAGTTTTTTTTTGTATTTTTTTAGTACAGACGGGGTTTCACCGTGTTAGCCAGGATGGTCTCGATCTCCCGACCTCGTGATCCGCCGTCTCGGCTCCAAAGTGTGGATTACAGGCTTGACCACCCGCCGGCCTTCTTTTTTTTTTTTGAGAAGGAGTTTCGCTCTCGTTGCCCAGGCAAGAGTGCACTGGCGCCATCTTGGCTCACTGCAAACTCCGCCTACCCGGTTCAAGTGAGTCTCCTGTCTCTGCCTCCTGAGTAGCTGGGATTACAAGCATGCGCCACCATGCCCAGCTAATTTTGTATTTTTAGTAGAGACAGGGTTTCACCATATTGGCCAGGCTGGTCTCAAACTCCTGACCTCAGATGATCTGCCCGCCTCGGACTCCCAAAGTGCTGGGATTACAGGCATGAGCCACCGTGCCAGCCCTTTTCTTCTTCATAGTTACAATTACCTGCCCATGGTGAATTTTGATATATGCCAGGCAGGTTGTAGTAAATAATACTCAGGTCATGGGTAAAAAGCCCCCAAGGAGCTTCGAAACCAGCTCTGAATTATTAACATTAATAGGGGGAGTAATGCCCAGTAGGACGAGAATATTTGTTCTTGTTTTTTTTTCCCCCCAGCCAAATAATAAAAAGTAAATCAAAAGGCATGTTCATTTGCCTTTTGAATGAGTTATGTAAATTATCGAGTCTGGAGCCATTTGAGAATTGGCAAAAATGACTTAAACACCAGGCTCAGCAAGCAGAACCTGTACCCCCAGAGGGAGCCAGGATAAATCCCTCACCCTGTGGAAGCAGGCACTCTCTTTCTCTGTCTCAAATCCAAACAGAGACTACAGGACTCTCCTGTAGGCTCTGAGTGTAAATCAGGTCTCCTCTAGTCTTGGGCAGAATGGGGCAGGCTCGACAATAGATAACCCTGTCCTCTTGGGTCTCAAAAAGGAAATGTGCATCCCGGTAGACCAGCTCACTTTGGCCTCTGCAGTTCACACCCAGGAATGTGGGGGAGGAGAAGTAGCATGCTGGTGGTGTTGGGTGCAAACACCACTTCCAAGGACCAAAAGCGAGTGGGTGGGGTAGGGATGGCTAAGTTAAAGGAATTGTAGGAGGGGATCAGTTGGCCATGTCGTCATGTCGTCCAGTAGGGACAGAGAGGAAAAAGAAGCAGCTTGAGGGGGAAGCAGAGTGCTACTGACTACTGACTAGATCCGAAGGGCATTAGAGAGGGGAGACTTTTTTTTTTTTTTTTTTTTTTTGAGATGGAGTCTCGCTCTGTCGCCCAGGCTGGAGTGCAGTGGCGCTATCTCGGCTCACTGCAAGCTCCGCCTCCTGGGTTTACGCCATTCTCCTGCCTCAGCCCCCCGAGTAGCTGGGACTACAGGCGCCCGCCACCTCGCCCAGCTAATTTGTTTGTATTTTTAGTAGAGACGGGGTTTCATTGTGTTAGCCAGGATGGTCTCGATCTTCTGACCTCGTGATCCGCCCGTCTCGGCCTCCCAAAGTGCTGGGATTACAGGCTTGAGCCACCGCACCCGGCCTTTTTTTTTTTTTTAATTTGAGACAGTATTTCGCTCTTTTGACCAGGCTGGAGTGAAGTGGTGCCATCTCGGCTCACCGCAACCTCCGCACCCCAGGTTCAAGTGATTCTCCTGTCTCAGCCTCCCAAGTAGCTGGGATTACAGGTGTCCATCACCATGCCCAGCTGATTTTTGTACTTTTAGTAGAGATGGGGTTTCACCATGTTGGCCAGGCTGGTCTTGAACTCCTGACCTCAGGTAATCCACCCGCCTCGGCCTCCCGAAGTGCT